AGGATGCTTTGATCCAAATGATTCCTATCTTGTAATTGCCTTACGTGCCTCCTTGAACAGCATTGGTGTGACGTCCAGGCTTTTGTTCTATCTCGTTATTGAAGCACTGTATGTCGATTTACCTCAAACTTACGAACCCAAAATAGCAACAGAACCAAACTCCAGTTCAGGAACCAAATTTTATTTCCGAATTGCAAATAAGCGACCCAAATATCTTCCGTTTTTGAGGTACCCGGAGCAAAGCTCCCAAGATTTATTTATTTATTTGATACATAAATATTGGTACAAGAGAGCGCCAATTTATATGCGCCACACAAAACAATGATAATTCGAAAAGAAAGAAAAAAGGTGAGGAGCGTGAAAAAACAAAAAAAGGAAAACAATAAAGAAGGGGTTGGTGTAAGGTAGTGTAGTAATAATAATAGTAATAATGAGGGAACGGAAAGGTACAATCAGAAGAAATCTTTCAGTTAAGGGAGACACAACCACTTTTTATTAAGAAAGTAAAAGAAGGTTATACCAGGATCGCCACTGGCTTCTATTTTGAGCCATATCTGATAACGTCTCTAGCCACTGTGTAGCATCATCTCTCAGACATCAACCAGGGAGTCGTGAAGGACCGACAGAAGTCAGTCCTTTGCAGCTTTCTTTCATGCCAGGACATCATGTCATGCACTGACCAATTCTCCGCTTCGTCCAACCAGTCCCAGAGTCGGCAAATAATGCACGACGTGGATTTCTCTGGGACGACATTCGGAAAACATGTCCAAGCCATCGAAGTCGGTATTTCAAGATGGTGACATCGATTGCATTATCATCTCTGTGCCCGAACACACGATGCCGAACCTCTGCATTACTGACATGGTGTTGCCACTGGATGTCAGCAATCCTTCAGAGACAGCGATGATAGAACACAGAGAGTCGTCTAACGTCCTTAACTCGGAGAGGTCAGGTTTCACAAGCATGGGACAGAACTGCTCTTATCGACGCGTTCTAGATCCGACTTTTTACAGACGGATTAACATCATGAAGGAGCCAAAGATGACCCAGATTGGCATAAGCCGCTCTGGCTTTCACTATTCGTGCACTGATCCTCCGCCAACACTTATGCAGCCACCCAGATACACGAACATCTCGACTACGTCAATCTGCTCACAATCCAGGGTGAGTACAGGATTGGAATCCTGCCAGTCTTGTAGAAGTACTTTGCACTTCGAAAGTGCAAAGCACATACCGTACCTACGGACACTAATTGCCAACTGATGAAGCGCGGATTGCATGCCTTGGGCATTATCGCAGAGTAAGACGATATCGTCCGCATACTCAAGGTCGAGAAGTCTTTCTCCAGGCAACATATCCACACCACCATTACTTACATTCATCAGAGCTGTTTCCAGAATGTCATCGATGGCAGTTGAAGAGGAATGGTGAGATTGTGTAACCTGCCTAACTCCACTGCTCGAATGGAACAATGGAGAGAGGTGGTTGTATACCCTCACTCTGCCTGATGTGTTTGTATATAGAGCTTTTAGGATGTCAATAAACTTCTCAGACACACCCTTCTTCAATAGACAATCCCAGAGAACAGTCCTGTCCAACGAATCGAAGGCAGCCCTGAAGTCATGAAACACTACGATTGTTGGCCTTTGATAAGTATGGCGGTGTTCTAACATTTGGCGGAGGGTGAAGATATGATCAATACATCCTCGACCAGAACGAAACCCAGCCTGCTCCTCGCGAGTCACTCTTTCTCGGGTTTTGAACAACCTACGAAGTATGACGGAAGCCAATAGCTTGTACGCAATTGGAAGTAGACTTATCCCCCGAAAGTTGTTACAGGAACGATGTGAACCCTTTTAAGAGATAGTACAACTATCGACTCATTCCATGTCGTTAGTACACTCTCTAGTTCCCAAACCTTTGTAAACAACGTCGTCAATTCCTTAGTCAAAAAGTCACCACCATCTTTAAAAAGAGCCGGAGGTAAGTCATCTGGGCCAGGTGGTTTGTAACACTTCAAGAGTTGGAGTTCCTTGCGGACTTCCGCCTCATTTGGTGGATCAGTCGTCACCGGCCATGGAGGGCAGGACAGTCTGACCGATGTTGCCGGAGCAGCAGGCCAGTTGAACTGCCCTTCGAAAAATTCTGCCCATCGTCCAAGACGTCGATGGATGTTAGTGATTGGCATCCCATCACCCTCGCAGATTGTTTCACTCACACCAGACTTCTTGCTGCCAGTGGCTCGGATGAGTTGGAAGAGCTTCCGGTAGTTACCAGATGCAGCTGCTGCTTCCAGCTCATTAGCACGCTTCGACCACCAGGCTTCTCGGTCCTTACGCAAGCTTTGCCCAATTTCCTTACGTAACATCCTTCGTTTGTGGTCAAACTCACGGTCATCCGGAGTAGACCGACGGGCTCCAATGAGTTGTAAGGAACCAGAAGAAACACAGTGTTTATAAGCGGGACGTTTCGCGAACCCACAACTGGCTGTACCCGCCATTTTCATGGAGTCATGCGATTGCAACCAATGCTCATCTATAATTTTTGGTGGAATGGTAGCTAGCCTAGAAGCTAGCTCGGTTCGATACTTACTTGCAACAGAAGTTGTAACCAGCTTGCTAACATCAATCCGTTGTTCACTGAAAAGTAAGATAAGATTGGCGCAGACCAAAGCATGGTCAGAGTCCAGATAGGTACTCCAGAAGGAGCGGCAGTCTTGTACACAACCACGTCAGCGGTCGCTGATCGCAATGTGATCAATCTGAGTCCAGGCTTGAGATGCAGAGGGCGGACGCCAGGTGGCACATCGGCGACGACTGTGCCGAAAGTTAGTGCTAGTCAGAAACAGGTAGTGGTCTATGCACAGTTGCAGTAGACGGTCCCCTTTATCTGTCCTGCGACCAACGAGTCCCCAACGGCCACCTAAACGACTCTCTGCTGTGTCTAAGACGCCCGACCTGAGCATTCAAGTCTCCGGCTAGTACTACAATATCTGTCGAACGCACTTTCTGGAGAAGAACAGTTAACTGGTGATAGAATTCATCCGGGCTGCAATCTGTCGGGGCATAGGCGGAGATGACGAAAAGACATCGTTTCTCACGCCGATTTCTTCTAACTTTGATGGAACTCTCTAATCTAACAGCACATAACCGACTGTTTATGAGGATCTAATCGATTAGTGCCGCCTTAGCTCTAGCACTAGGTGCGACACTCTTATTCAGTGGTAACATACAATTTTCAACCGGACGGTGACTCGAGAACGTTCAGATACAGTCGAATTTCCACCAAAGACGAGCCGCTGTATAAGTATAAATGAGGGTGAATATTGTGGTAAATAATAATAATCATAATCATTTGACTGTTAGTTGAAGCAAGTAAAGTAGTTTCCATAATTATAGGCAGTTCATCATATTTTTGTATGGGCTGTGATACTGCTCGGGTGCCCAGACCGAAGCAGGTGGTTATTTTAGAAGGCCACACCCAGAGCCTTTGACCTCCAGGTCCAACCCACAAGGCAGTGGAGCATCGTACGGAGATGCAATCCCATGGTAGCCGGTGACCAACGATTGGTTCATACGCCATTTGTTCCCGCAGGATACTGGAGCCCAGATGCACCATTGGTTTGGGATCCGGTTAAAGCGCCGGACATTCGCTTTTCGTCCTCTCATTTTCGTAAACAACACAGGTGCCACGAGAAGGCAGTGAGTAGGACTTCCCTGGCAGAGGCTGTATACGCGTGGCCGTGTGAGAGTATTTCGAGAGGGAAAGCGGACTCTCCCCACTCTCAGCCGTACCGGGGTATTTGGGGGCAGCTCCCAAGTACCATACCAAAGATAAAGAGAGACCAAAATACCCGAAGGCATAGATATAAACAAATAAGTTCAGAAGTTAAGTAAAACAAATACATCCAAAAACACAGTGAAATTATTAATATTCAATGTAACAACTTTTAATCAGTGAAATGTCTTCACTTCTCCTGTAACAACCAGAGCAACCTCCTTGGTGTGTAGAGCATTATTCTTCTTGATTAAAAGGGTACAACAGCATTTATCCCTAATCTAATCTCTTGGGTTCCACTTATTTCGAACATGGCCAAGTTATATCTCCTCATTTACCCGGCTATTTATTTGGTCATCCCGATCTCCACATTATCTGGACATTCCATGTACACATATTCGTTGCTGCTCTGGTTGTTAGAAGAGGCATCGTCGTTGCAACTCTCGAAGAATCTCCGCTTTCACCATGAGGCGTCATAGTTCTCCTGATTGAAAATACATCGGCTCCCATGGCAGAGTTAAAATTATTTTTCTGGTCAGCGTTTTTCAGCACAATCGTTTTCTATGGGATGGGGTTGCTGACCTCATGCTCAACCCTACTCTTTCAATCGAGCTTGCGACCGACATTAACCCTAGAAGAGCTACAGGCTGACTTTGCTCGACGATAGTTAGCTAACAAATTAAATGTCTAGGTTTGTATCTCGATAATGGTGCTTATCCGGACTACACTCTTCAGACATTGCTGTACCTAAAATTGAATAGAGATGAAGTGGGTGGAAAACTGTAATTTTTACTGGTGACTCAAATGTTCTCGAACTTATTCTTCATAGAGTATCACATATGAAATGTTACCCTTCCTTTATTCCTCCTTATTTTTTTATCTTCTGGAAAATACTGCTCAAAAATGATCTCCGTTTGAGGAAAACGATACTCTCCCCAAATATATATGTTACTTCAAATATACTCATATTTCGATATAATTTGCCAACATAGGATCTTGATGAATCTGTTAACTAAGCAGCAAGAGATAGGTAGAGAAAATTACCAAGTCAACTAATTAGCATCAGATATAGCTTTGTTTTCAATAAGAAATTAATTATTCTACATTTTAGGTAATTGTTGATTTTTCGCTGATTTTAAACCTTTTAAATAGTTTTTCAGTAGTTTTAATTCCTCAGGTTTCATTTTTTCAGATTGTTGTACACCATTGTCATCATTATTCATTATTTTTCGACCGAAGGTAGACTAAAACAATAAGAACAAGTGACACAAAATTAGCAAACAATCCTTGTAATCTGTCGAAATTAATTTAAAAATAAAGTGATGCATCTGGAAGCAAAACATAGCTAGAATGGACTAATTATTTATGACGTGGATCGATATTACTCATATTAATCGTAAAACAATGGATGCTAGCTTATGAAAAGTGATCATCGAAGAGTAAATGTACTGGTTTTATTGGGATCATAATGCAATCCAAGTTAGCCAGTTATTGGATATTAGGAAGGACCAGAGGCCTATTACGTCCAAGCACGAGACATCTCAGAAGTTTACATCCATGACGCCACAACCAAGAGTAGAACCCAGGAATTGAAACCTTGCGCGCGATTGCTTAATCCAGGGTTCAGTGTTACATACCTCCTGGATTTACTGAGGTCGAACTTGTACATCATCGGATCTCGGCACACGCGAAACCCAAAATCCTGGGTTCCACTCCTGGTTGCAGGGCTGTGGATTCGCGCTGCTGAGGACTCTAATACTGGGACGAAACGGCCGTCTAGTGACTCTGAATTTCTAATAATTGTCTAACTACAGTCTTTGGTATGAATTATGAAAGTCCAATATTCTACACAAACCCATTGCACTAAAAAAGAGAACGTTAGGAATCATTTACAGAAATGTGGGGGAAATAAAACGAAAGTCCAAATAAATATAAGAACCTGAAAGAAATATTGATGTTTACCTTTGCGTTCACACTAAGTATTTGTTCAGTTGTATATGGTTGGAAATCCAATTTCGTCACTGAATTACAATCAAGTTTAATAGCTGGTTTGGTATAAACCGATGGTTCATGTTTGAATGATTTCGGTTTTGGATTAGTCTGTTGTTATAAAAGAAAAAGAAATGAGTCCGATAAAGAAAAAAATACTAATTACGGATTTGAGTTCTTTATTGACCTATTTTGACTGAATAATTGATTTGGTTATCTTGATAATTTTAACTTGTAATTATCACAAAATTTTGTATCCCTTTACATGTGTCTGATATAGGCTATGTGGTAGGGGTTTGGAATAAGAGAGATCAAAACTAACTTTTAACGCCATATAACCTATTATTAGGCTACTGAGCTAAATTATGTACCTTTCATTTGGCAAAATAACTTCTTACCATAGTCTAGGTAGTTCAAAACATACATCCTTCATTCCACTGATATTAGTTATTAAGTAATATACATGAATAATCTAGAGAGGACAGTATACATAACATAGATAAGTAACTTCCTAACTTCTGACACAATTGACCATACACAGATCAAAGCAGCTCACTAGGATATAAGAAAATCAACTCAAAAAATTTCAGTAGTGAGGAGACGATTATTAATTTTGTTTGAAGAGTTATTTTCATTTTGAATCTACATACTGATAGCTCTGAATAGCTAAAGTTGGAAAGTATGTGACATTTGATTATTGCTCATCACTTTCACGATATTATGATTACAGCAATCTCTGAAGGTCATAAGTGTTATTTCATGTGGAATTATGCACGTGATATATTGAAGAGTTTCATACTAAGACAAACATATTTCCACTAAACCTTGGTAACTTCCATCAGTTTTCTAGATAATTTCCATCTATGAAATAAACTATTTCCAAGATAACTGATGTTTTTGTGGAAGATTCAGTTAATGTAACTCAACTAAATAAGTGGAGAATGTTCCTTATTTGTGGTAGTGGAGGTAGGTGTGATTGGTCATTGATTGTGGATAAACAGGCACACAACTTTCTTTCCCCTTAATGATTTCTACTCCGGACTCACTGAGAGTAACTACTTGTAACTGTGTAGAATAAAGTATTCTAGCGTTACTTTTCTTCTCTATTCTTAGTCATAAATCATTTATCTGATATAACATAATCTAATCTCATTATTGTGCACCGTTCGATTTTCCAATCTAGTGGTATTATAAACTTGACTAACTAGACCAGCCTTATTATCAAATTATTACATTAGCGTAGTTAAACCGCAGAGCGAGAGAAAAAAATATTTTCACGAATACGTTACATCAGCTCTATAGTGTTTAGAGATAATTTTGATTCATGAATATTAGTTTGAAGTGAGTATTTTTTGTTTCATATCACTAGTCAATCCCAAGACAATAATCGAAGATAAGATACCATTTTCTAGTATGGAGTTTTGCAGAGATTACTAAGTTTTGTAGTTAACATCATCGACTGACCACCACTCTTCCTTAAGGTTATGAATGGGCACTGTTAAAGAGTTCCATACTAAAATGAAACAACGATCTAGTGCTTCATTGGTTGTAATGTAAACTAAGTATTTAGAAGGTCAAATAACATCTAAGATTTATTCTTAATTCTATCAATTGATTGGGTAACAATGAAGATGACATTTATTGAAAATCCTATATGACAACTTTTGAAGTATCCATTGATAACAATACCTTTCCATAACGCTAATTGGATGCCATAAATCAAATGTTGAGAAATATACTATTAAACCCACTCCAATAGTTTCCTTTCATCACTTGATAAAGTAATTGTTGAGATTAAGAGACAATGGGATGGGATAATGATCGAAAAACGAACCCAACAATTACAGTATTAAACGTTCACCAACACATTGACTCTTTGACCATGTATGACTATGCCTTGTTTATTTACCTATCCTCGAGTTAACGTTCGATATGTTATATATATCTATCTTTTTCCCTGTTTGATCGACTTTACTAATTGTCTTTTACTTACTAACGGTCGTAATCTACATGAGCAAAGATGGATAGTGGTTAGCAATAGAATCCAGGACGCGCGTTTTGTCCTATTCGTAACTCGTCAGCTGGATGTACCTTCATCACAGAGTTGATGTTTACTTCGGGAATCGAACCCAGTACCGTTCGCTTCAAACACTATCGCGTTATCCATTTAGCTACTGAGTCCTAATAGCCAACTGCTTGTGCAATGGGGTGAAGTTCAAGTTCATTTGATGTTGTTTGTCTGTATCTTTCCATTGTTGTTTAGGATGAAACGCGCGCCCTGGATTCCACTGCTAGCCACTATCCATTTTTGCTTATAACGCTTTTGACTTAAGGCAATATCGGGGCCATCCGAACAGGATGCACATGTACCAACAAGAGACTGATCAACTGCAGTCCTAAACAACAATTGGAAGATACGAGCAAACAACACCAGGTGTTAATCTACGTTTTACAAACATATAAAGTTTATTGAGCAAAATAGCTCACTTGTTCTGACTTTGGCTAAGCTAAGACTCTGTACTTATAGTCCGGGGATTAGTTTAGAATTTAGACTGTAGGAGATCACTTTCTACAATACTAACCCCTCTGATATGGGTAAGTACCGGTGAGGAGTAATCGATGTGTCTACATGAGTAGCACGTAAATTATTTTTGTTTTGAAATGGCAGAGCGTTGACCATATTGATGAGTATTACAATATAAGAACAACTGCAATACATGTCCTTTTTGGTATCAGATCATGGATACAAGCTACTCGACAAAATGTTCGACTCCAGTCAGTAGAAGTAATTATAATGTGTTTATTTGATCTGCATTAATGAAATCTAAATTACATTATGAGAATAGTAAAAATCTAATTGCATTAATAATTATTCAAAAAGATTAGAAACTGTAATTCTTCGAGAGTATAAGATAGATAGCGGTTTAATTTTAATGGACATTGATGAATGTACACTATAAATTAGTCGAATTCGCGGTGAGATTATAACTTAAGGACGAACTTTGAGCGACTCTAAAGTGACATTCAGAATATCCACCTACTTACTAGAGTTAAATGACGGTTATAAACCTGTGTGAAGGATAAAGATTATGATTTACGGTTGATGGTTAGGATTAGGAATTAGATCAAAGGTTTTCATCAAGAAGTGACATCAACGTAAATGCCAAAACTCTATTTAGCCAAGTGAATGGATGAACATCCAATACCTGTTATCTTGTATCTGATTGGTTTGTCCATAAATTATGGTCTCGTCCATCGTTTCAAATCAGAGCGCTAGATCAACATCTAAATGTATGGTAAGAGTTTTTACACAAGTTAATAAAATAGTTTAAATAAGATGAAGAATGTGATATATCTTTTGCAAGTTGACATATTCATTAAATTGTCAATGGTCAATCTAAAATTTTTAAATAAATGTAATCCATAAAACAAATCCACTTGAATACAGTAATTTCAACAAGTTATCTTCAATTTAGAATATAAACGTAATATTTGGAAACGTAAGTGGACTGGCTAACCTTAGCATCATGACCTTGAAATTGATCACGCTGTTCTGTATGAAAAGATATCTCGTTTGTGTCGCGCAACTGAATTTGTGCTTTTGGCGGTTGACATGGTTGTGGTACAATTGAGCTCATTGGATCAACACTATTCCATGCACGTTCTGGGGGAAAATCTGCACGAAATTGAGTTTCACCAGAAAATGGTTCGCTAACACGTGGTTTTGGAGTACTTGGCATCTTAAATATTGGGAAAAAAAGTTATTTGCCATAATGGAAGATTGAGACTATCCGGTGATATTGTTAAACAAGTTAAGTATGTACTTGGTTGTGTAAATTTACAGTTGAACAGATAAATTCTTAGAACTAAATATTATGGTTTTCGTTTTACACTCAACTTATTCAAAAACTAACTGACAGTCGATCCTCTATATTATAAATAAATTTAAATTAAAATGATTTCTTTATATAAGCAGAAATGGATGGTGGCTAACAGTGGAATCTAGGGTGTGCGTCTCGTTCTAGTTGGGACTCATTAGCTGGATGTACCTACATCTCAGAGTTGATGTTCACTCCGGGACTCGAACCCAGTACCTTTCATTTTAAACGCAGATGCCATGTGGATAAGGCGATAGTGTTTGAGGAGAACGGTATTGGGTTCGAATCTCGTATTAAACACCAACTACGAGATCCAGGTACATAAAGTTGACGAGTCCTAAATAGGACAAATCGGGCTTCCTGAATTCCAATATTAGGAGCTATCCATCCCTGCTTATAATGCTTCTGAGTTGAGACAATATCGAGACAATCCACAGGATGCACATATGCCGAAAGAGACTAGTTAATTAGAGTCCTAAACATCAATGAGAAGATTCAAACAACCACCACAAATGGATAGTGACTTCAATAGAAAAAGACCAAACCTCTGGAACAAATAATAAACAAATAGCCTAAAGTAGGAGCAGGAAATTTAATCCTTACCACCCAATTCTGTTCAACCATTTACATTATTTATAAACGTATGTATGAAAGAATTGAGGTAATTTGAAATTATTTTAATATAGTATGATATTCTTTGTATTCAGATGATAGACCGCATGAACTAAATAGAAATTTTTGAGATGATTTTACATATGAACCCTGTTGAAAAGATCTTAAACACCAAGCTAACCCTGCTGTCTAGTCAATTTGACTAGTTTTCCTACACTCATTTCATGATATTATGGAAGGAAATGATCACATCTGGAATGTGATAAGAAATAGGTAGTTCCCAGAAGACAATTGTTTTGAACTAAATGTTTAAATTTATGTTATTAAAGAGCGCAACAAACGCTGTTCTTTCAGATAGTACCAACAAATCTACAAGGTGATAATAGTTATATTAAATGCTTAAACTATGGAAAACTGGTTGAATTTTATCCAATATTGACAGAGGATAAATTCCAAAATGTTCTCACCAACTTAAAACTACGAAGAAACATTTTCACCCAAAAACCTCAATTAATCAACTAATAGACACAAAATATAGAGTTGTTTATTACCCACTACAAAAATAGAATGAACAGCTCGGAATCAACTAGAAGATTTGAACTTTGAAGATGACCTAGCTCTTCTAGCCCATACACACCAAAAAATGCAGGTCAAGACAAACAGTGTAGCAACAGCCTCTGGATCAATAGGCTTCAACATACACAAAGGGAAAACCAAGATCCTCAAATTCAACACGGCGAACACCAACCCATCTCACTTGATGGAGAGACTCTGGAAGAGGTGGAGAGTTTCATTTGTCTAAGTAGCATCATGGATGGACAAGGAGGATTGGCAAAACAAGTACCACATTTTTATATTTGAAACGATTTTAATACACTTTGAGTGCTATTACAATAAAACACTATTCAATAACTATTTACCTTTAGTCTACGTACAGGACATCCTGTTATCGGTTTGACTGTGTAAACACTTTTATTTGTAGTTAAAAAATCTCGTTCACCTTCAACACGAAGATTTGTTGGTACCGGTTTTGCAGGTTCTGTGTAAGTGATCTGAAAAAGACAATCGTTGAATGTAGAAGTAAACTATGACTACCATAAAAAAGAGATGGCGTGATTATACACTGGATGGATCATTTAATTTTTTTACCGAAATTATTGGCACTATGCTAGCAGTCAAGTAATTGTGGAAAATTATTTTATGGAATTGGCTAGGAAGTGAAGTTTGTATTTAGCATGGTTATTTACATGGTTATGACGAGTACAAATGAACAGATTTCTGACTAATTTTTGACCATTATTTATTAGCTGATTAAAATGTAACTCAAGTTCTAGTGTAGTTGTTATATCTAGAGCTTAGATTCTTGATATACCGCGTATTACGCGAGCACTCGAACTCTAGAACACGCCAGGTCGTAAAATGACAAAACAGAAGACGAGTGAGGAGAAATGTTATTCCGACAGTGTCAAATGTGGTACAAAACTCCCAAGTATTTATAGTTTTCAGTAAAAGTGAAATCATTATTATAGTCATCCAATCCGCAAACAATGGCTTTTAGCATTTGTCCGATAGGGAAGATACATGTCGCGATTCTGGGATGTTCATCCAAAAGATGATTGGATGGAATGTCTCAGGTCTTTTCTGAGCTTATTCGAGTTCACCCGTGGGCCGTCCTCACATTAGTGAACGAGAACATATATAAGGGAAACTGACTACGCATTTTAACACATTACAGAATATCTTGGTAAAATCTGAGAACCATACAGTAAATAATTTGTTTGCAAAATGTCAATCAATTGTCACAGACTTGATTGTACCTTCGGTTCCACATCAATCACTCTGTGTTCTCGCTCTCTTCTCTTCGGTCTTCTTAACCCTCTGCTTCCAGGCGTTTCACTTTCGATGGATGAGGAATACTATTTATATCTTTCATCATCAGTAGCACACATCACACAACATTATTTGAGGAGCAAATATTTTGAATTTAAGTAATAAAACGAAACACATAAGGAAACATTATTTTCAGTAGGATCTTTATCAAGATTAATATTGTCTGTTAAAACGAAATTCCAAAAATTCTTGTGACAAATAAGGATAAGAATCGAAAATACCTTGAGATTAATCAATAAATAGCTAATCAAGTGATCGGATTGATATCTAAGAAAAGACATCTGAAAAACAAATAAAAATTGGAGTACTTGAGGACAGACCCAAAAAATCACATTTAAGATGTAGTGTTCAACAATATTCAAGATGAATTGATAGAATAACTGTAGGTTCATCAATATGTCAAACAGAAGTTGACTTTATTTGGGAATATTAGAAAATAGGTCTATCAAGAAGGAAAACTTATTCCGTAGTTTTACAGACGACATTTTCATTATTGTACATTAGTATTTTAGTAAATAAGAAAGATTTAATCTAGAATGCTACTGCACACCAGAATTTTGTTTATTAAGGAAGAATCTGACAGAAATGTGCATGAGAAGAGCTTCAATGTGTGTTACTACGCACACATATGTGTATAAACGTCGGATAAAGATTTAACTCAAGACAATATTTTTCATTGATGTCTTCTAATTTTCAAACTGAGGATTTTAATATTAACGGTGGATTTAATTCTCTAGTAGATAAAAGCGAATTTACAGTCATTCTGTTCTACGGAAACCGTTTATCATATTCTAAACATTCCATTAATCAGTTGAACCCCCAAATGCCATGGTACGACCGAGGGTGGGAAAAGTCAGCTCTCCCTCTCAAAACGCTCTCGCATGGCCACGCATATACAGTCACTGTCAGGGAAGTTCTAACCACTGCCTTCGCTCGGTATGGCTGTTGTTTACGAAATTGAGAAGACAAAAAGCGAATGTCCGGAACACACGGTGAGTCCTCTTAGGGGAGTTGGAAAACCCTGATTCCAAATCAATGGTGCACATGGGCTCCAGGATCCTGAAGGAACAAATGGCGTATGAACCTGTTCTTGGTCACCGGCTACCATGGGATTGCATCTCTTCACATTGCTTCACTGCCCTGTAGATCAGACCTCTAAGTCGAAGGCGCCGAGTGTGGCATCCTAAGAAAACCACCTGCTTTGGTCTGAGCACCCGGGCAGTATCACAGTCCACACATAAATCTAGTGACTTGTGTGGCGCATATGTATCTGGTGCCTCTTTGTACCAATATTTCTGTGTCCAAATAAATAAGTAATGAGTCGTCACAATGGATAACATATTTGTTAAATATAAAAACTATTTTGTAGTGATTTACATTCATTATAATTGTTTCAAAATTCATTAAAAATGATTCAAACGAAGAACGATTTTAACATTTCACGCAAATGGAAAACATTATCATCTGATGTAATTGAAAAACATATCCTCAAAAAATACACTGAGTATTTGAGTAGATGAGTGTTTGAACGTATCTAAAATTCACCGAGAAAAACAATACTCTTGACTAGAAATCGACAGTTAATTGCAACAATACGAATTTGGGAAAATAAACAAAACCATTATCGTTACATTCATATATTTTATTGTGTAATCCATCTGACATGAAGTCAGCTTTTTGTGAACTGATGTTGTAGTGAACAGAACACGAGTGAAGACAACCGAATACACCTTAGATGACATTACAGAGCATCTCAGTAAAATCTGAGAACTATATATTAAATTGTTAATTTGCAAAATGTCCACCAATTGTCTCAAAATACCTCAGACTTCATTATTCTTACATTTTCATACAAACTGCATTCTATTCAGGCTCTTGCTATCTTGATCTTCCCTCATCTTCTGCTGCCAGACATTACATTCCTGACTCGCATAATATACTACTTATATCAATATAAGTAGCACGCACCACAATATCAGCTAATACATGTGTCAAAATCAGAAGAAAAATATAATCTTGGTTCATTTTAATTTGGTGATGATTCACAAACCCAAAGTAAAATGAATAAAGTAATCTTAGATTCCGTAGTAACCAATATATACAATTAGCTGTTAAATTAAAATGTAACAATGGATATGATGGGATGACAGAGATTTTTAGCTCGAGCGGAAGATTTTAGAAGTGTTTTGTGCTTTCTAATTTGTTGGATGGGTTAATCCAATTTTTGTTTAGTCAACAGAATAGATAGTGTAAACATCTATAGTAAAAATAAAACCATGTTTTTGTGGAAACCTACTTTCTTAATGAAATTCTCCCATTTTCGAATGGGAAGCCTGTTACTCTCATGTTTTTATCATCTAACTCGAATAGTATTTTAAGATTGTGAAGGAGATTTATAGATCAGAGAACCACAAAACTTTAAAAACAATCCAGGATTTTTATTTTTAGCAATTAGGAAGATAGTTCCCATCCCATTACATAAACGTATCATCACTACTTCAACATCAACTAGTTGATTCCACAACTTTTCATTATGCTTTCAAGAAATGCATTTTGATGCTAGTAATTATTTGAATGAGCAATCATTATAAAACTAGATAGTTTATAATTCTCTAGCTTGAAAAACACGTGACTGTCTTGTTTATGATTAGTATCAAATCTCAACATCTATGTGAGGTCATTCTCTCTGTGTGTTAATCTTCAATAAAAGTGTAATATGAAATTTTTTCAGGCATTTTTCTATTTTATGGTTGAATTCATAAGTTAATTGAAGCTAAACCACCATGGAAAATCTGGAAGCACTGGATGAACGTCTCGCACTATTGTCTGACTTCTCAGCAGCGCGCATCCACGATCCCGAACCGCGAGGTTCGAACTCAGGACCTATCAGTCTCGCGCGAACACTTAACCTCTAGACCACTGAACCGGCATCAAACAGTGTTAATGTCTAACTTCAACCAATCCACTATATTTTCAATAAACTGTTAACTAAGTACTGTATAGAAGAGTATAATTTTCACTATACAACATAAACATTTAAATAATTATTCGTTTCTTTTATTCAAACTATGATCCATTCAATAGATTACAGTAAAAGAACAAATAATCACTAGAAAAAATGCAAAACGTCATCGAACTCCATTACTATTTCACTATAATCATGCAAAATTAGACACTTTTATTTATTACATCACATTTAACATCCTAAATTGGTAAGCTTGGATATTTTGTAAAGAAAAGAATAAGAATGTTTGTAAGTGAATAAAAAATATAGAATTATAATGAAATTCGCGACATAATAGTGTCATTTTGCCGAAAAAATTATTATTATTTATTAGTTAAACACATAACCATTGGTACAAGGAAGCACCAAGTAGATATGCGCCACATAAATCATTCGATTTGTGTGAGGGCTGTGATACTGCCCGGGTGCCCAGACCGAAGCAGGTGGTTATTTTAGGGGGCCACACCCCGAGCCTTTGACCTACAGGTCCGACCCACAAGGCAGTGGAGCATCGTAAGGAGATGCAATCCCATGGTAGCCGGTGACCAACGATTGGTTCATACGCCATTTGTTCCCGCAGGATACTGGAGCCCAAATGCACCATTGGTTTGGAATCCGGTTAAAGCGTCTGACATTCGCTTTTCGTCCTCTCATTTTCGTAAACAACACAGGTGCCACGAGAAGGCAGTGAGTAGGACTTCCCTGGCAGAGGCTGTATACGCGTATCTGTGTGAGAGCATTTCGAGAGGGAGGTGAGCCCACCCCACTCTCGACCATACCAGGGCATTCGGGGGCCAAAAAACATACCTTCAATATTCTATTGTGAAAAGACTTGATAAAGAAACAAAATTAATTATTGAACTGCGTAAACAATTTATCTCGTAATAATGATACTACTTAAATTTATTTCTAAATTCAGTATTTATGTGTGTTCTGTAAAATTTTCCTAATTTGTATCAGAAGGGGTTTTATAGAGATTGGTAGTAATTTCAATAGTTGAGATCATGAGCCAATTGAAGCTTTTTTGTTTTACTTATAAACATGAACAGAATCACGGCTTATTTATTAACTCATATGTAATTAGTTAAACTTTCAAACTAACCATAACTAGAGAAAAGTAGTTTTATGAAGCTTTGATTAGAAAGTTTTAAATAAAGTGAGGATTGTAGACATTAATTAGAGATTTTGGGTGACAGGGAAAAGATCATTCACAGGCACATTTACTATTCGTATTCGTTTAGATTTTGAAATCTCCTAAATTAGTTAAACGATTTCGTTCCATTCCCCAAACCCATATTTTCATTCCCAATCATATCAGTTACTACTAACACTAGTACTGTTACTACGTATACTATTTTGATGTCCGGATGTGATATGTATCGATCTTGATAATCTAACTACTGAATATTTTAGTAATCATGAGACAGTATTCACTTTTAAAAAAGTTAGAATCTATGAAATCAGGTTTATACCCCTCAATTAATTAAACACATCGTATTAAATTTATGAAAATGCTGTGAAAATGTGAAAGAAATACAACTGAACTACATATACGGGATATTGAATACACAATATTGAAGCATCCACAATGAACATCATGAAGTGATACAATCGATGAAAAAAAAGAAAAGAAAAGAAACATACTGGCTTTTCAACAAATGTTTCATGTGTTGTACTTTGTAATCGACGATTTTGACCGGGATATAAAATCGAATCAGTGAAAACAGGCATTTCACCAAAACGTAGAATTGGTTGACCTATTGGAAATTTAGATGTTTCATTTTGTTCATTAACATTATTATTAGTTTGATGACAAAATGTATTTCTATATGTTGTTGATGTACTAAATGGTGCTTCAACATCAAAATTTGTTAAACATCGATGTGTTTGCTTTTTACTATTCTGTTTTAATTGACCATTATTAGATTTATCAAGATGTGAATTTCTAAGTTTCAATATAAATTGTTTAGTTTCTTTAGGAAAACATTGTATTAATGAAGATAGTTCTTCATCATCATTTATATCATCAATAAGGATATCCAATTCATTATTATTAATAATTTCATTAGATTTTAAAATATCATTCATTGTTTAATTCTAAGTGTTCTTAAAGGAATGCTAGCAATGATAATTGTTATCAAACAGAGAAGTGTATTGCATTAGCAAAAATGAATAACTAAATGATTCAAACAAATAACAATTTTTTTTTAAAAGAAAGTTTAATATGATAAACGCTAAATTTCAGGTCATTGAACAGCATTAGCAACCACGAACAACCAATTAAATCGTGTTACTATATATATATATATATATATATATATATATATATATATATATATATATATATATATATATATATATATATATATAACGAAACACAGTGACAAGTTGTTTTGTCCTGGTAAGGGGCTGCTCAATAATGACTATTCATAACCTCACCGGAGATTGAAAAGACAACTTTCAGGTCTTCTGATGAACGTTTAAACATTAGAGCAACTTGGGTGACACCCAGTGGTAACTTACTGAAAATGTTTCTGAGATTCTAGTGAGAATTCGTGTCCGATTTCCAATGGTTAACTACCCAAGTTCATTCTGTGATATCAACTATAAAATTCAACAATCTCCACAAACCTAGTATAGACATAAATATGAACACCAACAAGGGCGGCCTGCTTGAGCATCTGGGCTACCTGTTTTTGCCATCTAGATATTTCAACAAGTTATCTATTTTTGTTTGTTTTAATATATCATTATGTTTATTAATCGCATGACCTATTCTGCTGCGTTTCTGAAAAGTGTACAAGCTTTCGTTGTTAAAGTTACAAAAAACTCAATAAGAGCCAATGTGGTTGCTGGCAATATACAGCGAAAAGAATGCACATTATTCAGATGTTCATTCAGTGAACTGCTAACAACTAATAGGCGATCACTCAATATTTATCGCCAGGACCGACCAAGAAGAAAGAAACGGAAACTTGTTGAAATACTTTACACTGAGAATTCTATATTGTACCAAAAATATAATATTGAATAAAGCTGATAATAATAATAATAATAATAATAATAATAATAATAATAATAATAATATAAATGTAATTTCCCAGTAATCTAGTGAGTAGATATTAGCAGAGGAGTCTAAATATGTTTGATACAAGGTAAGTAACCCGTCCAACAACGGATTCTCGATATCGCTTGTCGATAGAACATAGTAAATATCTCGCCTGAAAACCATAATTTATGATTTGATCTTTGTTTGAACAGTGGATGAATAATCCCCATCCTAGAGAAAAAGATATTCAGTGTTTCGTGATATTCAATTGATCATCTAAATGAAACCAACTGGCAACGTAAAATACGAAAGTTTTGAAAGAAAATAATTTAGTGAAGAACTGAAACGCTTATAAACTTGCTCACATAAAAATTGAGTTTTTTTTTTCCATTCATTATTACAATGGTAAAATTAAAACCTTCAAAATTGATTTCTAAGGAAAAATCAACTTTATTATAGATCAGTTATTCCATTATAGTCTAATCAATTGACTTTTATCAGCAATCATCAAACAGAATAGTAACTATTATTGAGGACAAGATTTTTGTCTTATTTCAAAATGACAGATTAAGACAGTTGATATCAGAATAAATTGTCTTAAAATATAATCAGGATGGTTCATTTTACTACAAACAATCATGCACAAGCATACACAAATGATAAGAAAATGCAATTAGGCGAGAAAGTTTGACACTCTCTTGATCTCATTTTGACATATCTTAGAAAGAGGTATACGTGGAATTACTTCTTATCACACTTATCATTTCACTTTTTTTTCTTAGAAAAAGCACGTTGTATTGGGAAACCAAGTTGTCTTCTGAGATCAATTTAATTGGGAGGCTCGGAAGAGTCTATAAAGGCTCCCAAAAATGTTCGAAACGTTTTATTCAACATATAATGAATAGAGGTATCTTATAAGCATTTGGAAAGATGAATACTCGTCGCAATTTCCTGAGATAATAATCTACATAATTTGTACATTCAATGTTTCCATGAACTTCTACTCCGACAAGGTTATATGAAACTAGAAATACAAAAGATTTCTTATACATAACTAAACTAAATTTCACGCATTTTAGAATTCAACGATATGATTATTGGGAATGCTTAAGAATTCAATGTTTCAAAAGCAGACTTAAAAGTCAGTGATGGATAATGGCCCGACCGAAGCTGCTACCTTGACGCGGTGGTCGGGCATGCCTATCGTGATGACCCAACCGAGCTATATTGGCTGGAACATATGTTCCTGTAGGTTCTACCATGCCAGGCAGGTCGATTGATGAACGGTAAGACTAAAAGCAGCAACTCAAGGTTTGAGGGCGAAGTCGTACTGCTGACTGTAGAGGGGTGGGACAGCAGTAAGGCTTTTCCCTCGGACAACCAGCATCTGCAGCCTTCCCACAAGGAGGAGTGGGGTTAGAAAAAGTCGACCCTAAAAATGTCACACCTCACCTTACCTCACGGATTTCCGTCTCCGGCAGTAAGGCCCTTTGAAGAACGGAGCTAACACATTAAAAACCTTCCACGAAAAGGCCGTGCGCGACCGGCCTCAAGCAGTTGTCCCTTGGGCTCTGCGGTCACGCTCCCAGGTCGTTAAAACCAACACTAATCCAATTTCCTTTTCAGGTTCCTCAAGAAATAACCTTCCACGGTGTGGGCAGCCGGAAAGTGATATCAGCCCTCATACCCGTAACAGCACACGACACCAAGTTGGTCACATTCAAATCCTTCCTACACCTCCTAATACCTCTCCTATCTCCATGACTAACCCTTCTCAGGTCTCTTTATCATCTCGCACCGCCAGGGTAAACGATTCGAGTACGCGGAACGCTATTCCTGGTCTCTTGAAACCACACTCTAAACTACACGTAGGAGCTTTTAACGTCCGAACACTGTGCCAAATAGGACAGCAGGCTTCCTTAGCTAGGACTTTAGAATCTCGCGCCATCGATGTGTGCAGCGTCTCCGAAACGCGTCATTCATCTGAACTCACCATGCCAAAATAAAGAACCGACTCGATTCACACTTCGTGTATCTGGAAGCCCAGATTCTGCTTCCCGTGGCCCCGCCGGCGTAGGTATAGCATCGATTCCTAGAGCAGAACCAGCTCTCTTAGAGTGGATCCCAGTAGACAGTCGTTTGTGCGCTGTCCGGCTGAACGGAACAGTAAGGATCCGAAAAGATAGGGACACTCGTCGTTGCCCCTTCGTCGTCTCTGCCTTTTCCCCACTGACTACAGCTCAGAAGATGCAAAAGATGAGTTTTACAGAAAGCTTTCGGACCTTCTCCGAAAAGCTAAGCGCTCTGATGTAGTAATAGTGGCTGGTGACTTTAATGCTCAAGTAGGTAAACTAAGCGATAGGGAAAGATACCGGGGTGGATCATATGGTGTCGTGGCTCAAAGAACAAATAATGGTCACCGTCTGTTGCAGCTATGCTCAGATAACCGCCTGTTCCATGCAAATACTAACTTTAGGCATAAGGAAAAACATCTTTTAACATGGCGACCCCCTAATTCGTCCCAACGTTGGACCCAAATAGATCACATCGCTATCGGCCACCGATGGAGGGGCTCGATAGAAGACTCACTCATTCTGGAGCACATGCTTAGATTCAGATCATGCTGAAGTAAGAGCGCGTATCTGTCTGCGTCTTACTCGACGTAGGAATGACGCTGCAAGTCAACTTCCTAGGGCCCTACTTAATGATAGTCAAGCTAAGAGAATATTTCAGGAACAACTAGGAAAACAGTTAGGCAGCCATGTATGTGATGTCCACCCCGATGCAGCATGGAATGATATCCGAAAAGCTGTGGAAACAGCAGTGATATCTGCTAGTACGGTAAACCACAAGGTTGGGGAGCAACACTGGATCTCAGCAGCATCTATCGCACTGATAGATGCTCGGAAACTCATTCCACCTGGCTCTGAACATAATGAAGAGCGGAGTCAGCTTAAGCGCAAGCTGACAAGAAGTCTACGCAATGATCGTGAACAGTGATGGGTAGCGAAAGCAAGAGAGATGGAGAAGGCAGCGGCAATAGGTAATAGCAGACAATTGTTCAGACTTGTTAAGGAAACCGACTGTTAGCAAAACACTCTCAGAGTAAGATGGACATATACAATCTCAATCCAGGAGATTGGATCGATGGACAGAACACTTTGGGGATCAGTTCAACCGGCTTTCAGCCACACTTCGGTTTCCCACGATTTCCAGTCAACCTGAATGGCAAGTTAATGTAGGTCATCCGTCTCTTTACGAAGTTGAAAAAGCCATAGGAAATCTGAAACGAGGGAGAGCAGCAGGCCCTGATAGGTTTACTCCTGAGATTTTTAAGGATGGTGGTTTAGTATTAGCAGTGAGATTAACTTAGGTCTTAGGTAGAATTTGGGAACTGGACGTAATCCCATCTGACTGGTCTCAATCACTGATTGTGCCAGTCTATAAGAGAGGACAAAAGTCCTCTTGTGACAATCACAGAGGAATCAGTTTGACTAATTTAGTGTCTAAAATATTAGCTCCAATAATACTTCGACGCCTGACCAAAGTTCGTGAAGAACAGACTAGAGAAAATCAGGCCGGTTTTCGACCTGAACGTGGTTGTATAGATCAGATATTCACACTACGTCAGGTTCTAGAACACAGACACACGTTCAGACGCCCCACAATGGTAGTATTTCTAGACCTTAAGGCGGCATTCGACTCTGTTGATCGTAAGGTTCTATGTCAGTGTTTGTCACTGAAAGAAGTACATTAACCTAATACAGGCTCTCTACTCGAACACAACTGGTAGAGTGAGAGCTTATGGCGAACTGTCATCAGAATTGATTACCTCAAGTGGTGTTCGTCAGGGCTGTCCACTATCTCCATTCTGGTTGAACTTTGGGGTCGATGTACTTTTAGAGATAACACTCTCCTCATCTAAATTTACAGGGGTTGAACTTTTACCGGGAGGTTCACTTGTTGACGTAGAATATGCTGATGACATAGTCCTATTTGGTGAAGACGCTGACAAAATGCAGTCTTCTGACCACTCTAAGCAACAATGTAAGCATGTTCGGGATGCGATTCTCTCCCTCGAAATACAAAATGTTGCTTCAGAATTGGGTTGCATTGACACCGGAACTAATGATAGGGAGTGAAGTAATTGAGCGTGTCGATCGCTTCACTTATCTTGGAAGTCTCATCAGCCGTTGTGGTCTTGTGTGTGACAATCTCAGCACGGATACAGAAGGCTCGACTAGCTTTTGCCAACTTGCGTCATTTAGGGCGTAGGTGAAACGTGGCCGGTAAGAGTAGAGGATATTCGTAGGTTACTAGTATTTGATAATAGGTGTCTTCGAAATATTGCTCGTATATCATGGGACCATCGAGTAAGTAACACAGTTGTTAGGAAACGGGTACTACGTAAGGATGGTAAATCAATTGATGAAGTAGTGAAACTTCATCAGTTGAGATGGCTGGGACACGTGTTACGTATGCCCAACGACCGACTTCCTCGACGTGCGATGTTCAATGGTATAGGAGTAGGTTGGAAGAAAACCAAGGGCGGCCAGACCAAAACATGGCACAAGTTCATGAAGTCACTGACAAGTGGACTGAGTCATGCTGGTAGGTGTAGATTACCTGGTTAGGGACCGCGAGATGATAGCAACCGATGGTTGGAGACCCTGAATGACATGGTTCAAAATCGTTTGCAATGGCGCAAGTGCATCCACTCTTTGTGTTCTCCCAAATTTTGATCTCCTAATTCCTCCTTGTCTTTTTTTCTCCTCTCAAATTTATTTCACTGTATTATACTCTTTAAGTAACATCTCCAAACACTAATCTTCCCGATTACTGCTTATAATCTTGCTACCTCTACTACTACGGGACCTGAATCGACCACTGCATCTTTATGCTAATGTGGTGTGGCAACTCCAACTGATGTACGTACGTAGGAAGTTCTACGTTGTTACTGACTGACTGGCCTGCTATTCAGCCACACTATACTATGGAACAATACTGTTCGATAGATATATCTCATGCAAAAGTCTAACAAATCGCAAGCATAATTCTACTCATTACTACCAATAACACAAATGCCCCAGTATCTATTTCTTAATTAACACTAATGAATGCGCATGTACAGTTGCCAATCCTTCTCAGAATTTATTTATTGACGTTGACTTAAGGAATATCTTAGATGGTTAAAGTACTAAATGATGATGTTATTAAATAATTTTTGTAAAACTATGTGTAGTTAATTTTAACATTAATATTTCCTGTTCAATTGATATTAAATCTAATATAACAGTTAAAATTGTGAAATATCTTCACGGAATATTGTAATTGTAAAGTTTGATTTCCTCACAGACAGTAACAACTTAACAGAGGAACAATGATTTCGTTGAAAAGTATTCACTACATAGGTGATTGATTTTCATTGAACATATATCAAAGTGCACCGAAGAAACTAATATTCAGCAAATGAAAACTCTTGACTCTATCCTACGAATTGAAGCATTCCTTCGAATCATAAACTATCACTGTACATTTTATCTATATTCGATTGTCGTTAATCGTTTATAAACTTCTCGATTATGGTGTAGTTAGGCGAAAACTGCAATTTTCTTGGTTTCTCTTCAAGAAATTATTTTGTATTATTAGGTAGAAATTTGCTTGTCGTGTTCATTTATTAGACGAAAATATGCAATTCATTCAATGAGCGTTTAGATTATCTATTAGCAAATCGTTATTAGTAAAAATAATAGCACCTGGTCAAAAAACACCGACCAAATAAGCACACCCAAAACACATGAATTCTAAAAGCAATTGACATAGATGAATCCAATCCCGTGGTATCGATAAAAGCTTGAAGCTGTTAGATCGGAAACAAAAAATTATTGGAATTAACTAAATACAAATTTGAATAATAATTGAACGAACATTGAATAACGAACAACGCTAATCATTGACTTCTTACGAAACTTTTATTCAATTCACAAACAGACGAAAACTTATGTAATTTACAGAAGCATATATCTTTCTGTACTCTGAAAGCATTGACAAACTAATTTATATTTATTATATACAAAATTGGGAAAACTGAATTATGACACATTTTATGATCAAGTCAAATATTGAACCATAGAAGATAAACAGTATACACATTAATACAAATATACATATTGAAGTTCAATGGAATGAAACAACAATCATACAACACATAATACAATGAAAAGTGAATAACCGTGAAAGTGAAAGGAGAACATAACAATCAAAATAGATAATATAAATGACAAAAACAAACACAAAACCAAAACACAATAAATAAAAAACATACAGAGTACATTGACCCCAAAAAAACTGCAAAACAAAAGAACAGAAAATCATCAACACATCACAAAGCCATCAATCAAAAGATGGTGTGATGTTTGAATGAACTAATGATACCGTTGTACTTGTTGAATGCTCGATTTCGAATTCCAAATACAATACATTCGTTTGTGCTTGTATCACTTCTTAATTCAATTGTGTTAATTCCGGGATTCCTAGTTCATACAATTCAAATAATTCAAAGCATTATATTGGCGTCGCGATGGAGCCTGCAATGGAAAAGTTAGATATTCATTCAACTCTTGAAGCTTTTGAGGATTACTTAGAAAGGTTCGAAATCTGGAGCATGACTAAGAAAGATGTTAAAGGTGAAAAAATTGTGGCACATTTTCTGACATTCATTCGGAGAGATGCGTACAGTTTATTAAAAACTTTGGCATATCCAGAAAAACCTATCTCACTCATGTAAAATGCACCAGTTTTGAATGCCGTGAAAGGGCGAAGTTTCATAAGATGGTTCGTCAAAATGACCAAGAGGCTCGGGAATTCATCCTTGAATTACAGAAACAAGCTGCCAAGTGCAATTTCGGTGATCAACTTCATGTGCAACTGAGAGATCGATTAATTGCAGGAATTAACATACCGAGTTTGGAAAGAGAGCTGTTAAAAATGCCAAACTGTTCCTTTCAAGATGCTAGAACTGCATGTATTAACTACGAAGCAGTCAATGAACTTGATATCCAGTCGATGAAGATTTCTAATACTTTGCTTAGTCGTCGTGATTAACTACAATTTCAGGGTCAATCAAACTTGAGTTCATTTAACAGTGATTCCTATTCTCGTGTAAATATGAAAGGTGTTTCAACAAGGAATTACAAAGCAAATCACAAAGGTGAGATGAAGTTTGGTAAATGTTTATCATGTGGAAAGTCTCATTCTCGCAATTCATGTGCATTTCGTAATGCTAAATGTTTTAAATGTGGTAAGATAGGACACATTCAGTCAGTATGCAAAGCTACTGTCCATTTTGCTTTAAGCTGTACTCAATCTTGTAATTTAAACTTCAATAATTCGGATGTTTCTAGTGATCATTTATCTTTGTCTACTATTTCGAAAGGTAATGCTTACGTTCAAAAACGACTACATACATCGCTTGGTTCATTTCATGACTTTATTCTGGACACAGGCAGTATAGAGTCCATTATTTCATTCAAGAACTTGAAAGCTTTAGATCCTAATGTTGTTGTACGACCCACTGAAGTATCAATATTGGGGATTACTGGACATAGACTGCCCATACGAGGATGTTGTGAATTGCTAATAAGAGATGATAATTCTTTATACATACCTTGTGAATTTTTAGTTAGCGAAACAGGGCTGTCAATTTTGGGTTTAAAGAATTTGAAAAGGCTTAAAGTGGAGTTGTCCTTCCTAGTTTCTAAAGAAAATTCGGATACTTTACTTAAAGATTTGATAGCTGTGTGCTAAGTGCAGTGGAGGTATGAAAATTAAGCCTATAAAACTTCAAGTACATGGTGATCCAGTCTTTCTTAATAGATGAATAATTCCTTATGGTCTTCGAGATGCAGTACGTAAGACATTAAACGACTTGTGTGCGAAAGGCATAATTGAGCCAATTCAGTCTTCAGCATGGGGTACTCTTATCGTTACACCACTGAAGTCGGACGGCAAGACCCCTGGAATTTGTGGTGACTATAGATTAACTCTGAATTCCCGTTTCTTGAAGCAAACGTGCACGACGGTAGAAGCTGAAGATATTCTAAATCGACTTCATGGTTCTAAAGTGTTCTCGAAAGTTGACCTAAAAGATGCTTATCTTCAAATTCCTTTAGATGAATCTTCACTCCTTTTGGTCTGTTCAAATACAATTTCCTTCCATTTGGTCTAAGTTGTTCTGCAGCCATATTTCAGGAAGTTATGAATAAAGTAGTTAGTGATCTTGAAGGTGTTGAAGTTTATCAAGATGATCTCATTGTTCATGGTTCTAATAAGGTAGTTCATGACCAGAGACTTATTGCTTTATTGCGTCGTTTAGTTGAGAGGAATATTACAGTGAATCCAAATAAGTGTTCATTTTGTGTATTTAATTTTGAATGCCTTGGATACCTAGTTGATGGTAATGGTTTTAGACCAAATATGAAACGACTAGCTCCACTGACTAATGCACCGTCTCCGAAAAATCTTACAGAATTACGTTCACTAGTGGGTGCTCTTCAATACTATTCCCGTTTTATTCCCAATTTTTCTTGTCGTGCAAATTGTTTATTTATTATTTTAACATACAATTCATTCAAATGGAGTGAGGAACAAGAGTCTACTGAAGTTTCTTCAAAGTGATGCTGTTCTTCGAACGTAATCCCCCAATGTACATTCTGTGCTTATTACTGATGCATCACCTGTGGGAATTGGTGCAGTTTTGGAACAGGAAGGTAGACCAGTTATTTGTGTTTCACGCAAACTTACTGTTACTGAACAAGGTTATTCACAGACTCAGCGGGAAGCATTAGCTGTGTTTTGGGCTGTTGACAGACTTCATAGATATTTATTCGGAAAGAAATTCACTATTGTTACTGATCATGAAGCTTTAAAGTTTATTTATCATCCCGAAAAATCCTTAGCACGTTCCTCAGCAGCTATGGTTCAGCGATGGAGTACATATGACTATACGGTTCAGCACAGAAGTGCCAAACAGATTCAACATGTTGATTACATTTCTCGACAGTCATTACAAGATAAACCTATTAATACTTCGGATTGTTTGTTAGTGCAGCCTTTACCAGTGAGACGTTCAGATCTCATAAGAGAAACTCGTAGATATTTTGGATGTATACTCAGTGCTATAAGGAAAGGTTGGAATGCTAATTTGAAACGTAGATTTCCTATCTATTTTTCAAAGCGGGATGAGCTATCAACAACTCCTGATGGTATTCTGTGTTTAAATGATCGTGTTGTCATTCCTTCTTCATTGCGTAAATCTGTTTTTGAAGATCTTCATAGTGGTCATTTAGGTGTTGAGAAAATGAAGTCCTTGGCAAGGCTCACATGCTGGTGGCCAGAGATAAATGCGGATATATGTCGTACGGCAAACAATTGAGAAATGTCATCAGTTGAAAAATCATCCTTCGAAATGGGGGCCATGGTAAGTATCGTCTGAGGCCAGGCAGAGGATTCATGCTGACTATTGTGGACCATTTCTTGGTAAATACTACGCACCAGTATTCAATGATTCTTTTTCAAAGTGGCCTGAAGTTTTTTTCACAACTTCACCAAATGATTTCACAAAACAAGCATTAAGAAAAGTGTTTAGTCGAGAAGGGGTTCCCATGGTGTTGGTGACTGATAATGGCTCACATTTTGCTGCAGCTGCAGTCACTACCTGGTTGAACGGTATAGGGTGCAAACATCTATTTACTGCTCCCAGACATCCGTGTTCTAATGGTCAGGCAGAGAATTTTGTTAGGACATTAAAGACGCTATTGATTCTATAGCCCTCTCAACATCTAATGAGCTGAAGAGGGGGAGTAGATACCTTTCTATTGCAAAATAGAAATGCCAGACATTCGAAGACGAAGGATACTCCAGCCAAGCTATTGCAGGAAGAATTCTTCGGTCGAATACGAGAGGTTTGGAGTCTTCAGAAGTTACATACTATCGAGGAAATGATCTTCGACCATCTACGTGTATTGTTCTGAAGAATGTCGGAAAATCGTTGATGCGAATTCTAGACATCGATAACTTAAGTACACACCGTCCACATGTAGATCAAATGCTATTTCAGGAAAGAGGTGAGTCAGTATCGATTTCGATTGTTAATTTTAATGCTAATGAGCATATTCTAGATAATACAGAATCCTCATGCAATACAATGTCAGACAGACTCATAATGAATTTGAGTAGAAGACCTACGATTGATTACAAACACCTAGAATCCAATTTACGCTGCGGCGGATGTGGTGCTTGAATAAACTAATGATACCGTTGTACTTGTTGAATGCTCGATTTCGAAATCCAAATACAAAACATTCGTTTGTACTTCTGTCTCACTTCTTAATTCAAATGCGTTAACTCCGGTATTCCTTGTTCATAATACAATTCCAATAATTCAAAACATTAAAGATGGTTCATTGACATCATTACACCAATATGTACTCCACAACACGATGCACCAACTCGTCCACTCACCTAAACAATCAATAAACAAACAAGAAAAAACATCTCCTTACTCCAATGAATACAAATGACATATATATGTGTATATAAATATAAATTAACAAAGCACTATATCAGATGGTGTTGCACACATCACAATCGATTCAGATAATCAAAGAATCGGTGGATATGTATTTGCATCATTTCAAATTTATCCACAGTAAAACGTTTCCTCTACAAAATAACAGGCTCAAAATACCATCTCATCTTCCAACCATTCAACATAACACACTCATCACTTCCTCGTATTTCTGGGTACACGTGTTCCTTTCAACAACAACATCTCCCACATCCCACATAACATTTCACCATTACTACAGACATATACACACATTCATATGCAACTCGTAATAAATCAATTGCATCACAAACACCACCATCATCCACTCACCTGATCTCTCAGTCGTCACCATCTATCTCCCCGTTCCACAAAATGTTCAGTTCCTGAAAATGTAAACACCAAAACACAAATCACTAGTTAGTATATATCCATCAATCAGTACAAACGTGAATTACACAACTATCACACTCTCAGACAAATGCCTCGTTGTGAGCGGTCACTGATCAACATCTCACACTCGTCATCTAGTAGTCATCATCAGTAAACAATAAAATTACAACGCACATCACTCACTCATCCACTACTCACCCGAAAATAACGCCCAATCATCACTCACAGAAGTCCCCACCGTCTCCATTCTCCTCGGTCAAGTCCACGTCATCATCCACGTTATCATCAGCTCATTCACTGGACGACTATCGTACATCTACAAAAATACAACAACAAAACACATTTTAACATACAATACACCAAACACATTTTCTCTTTCACACACCAGTAAGTCAGATGTCAACTCACACCATAACTGGTGACCCGAAAGATAAACATTCATCATTATATCATCCGATACTACTTATTACTTATTACACCAGTATTTACTATTTACAATGTAACCAAAACACTCGAACAAAACAAGCACACAACACTCACCTGTCTCAACATCTCACATTGTAAACAATTATTCCCTCACTGGTCACAACCCAACGGAGGTGGTCACCCACCAGTGTATACCTGAACAATAATAATAAAAACAACAACAACAATATTATTATTATTATTATTAATAATTATAAAACAAACTCCAATATTGACATTATCATTACTCTTCATTATTCAGCATCATTTCAGTTCATTTCAAACTGATTACACAATGTAGGTAACACATCATATAGCAAAACATAGAAACACATACATGCATACATAATTGGTTGTCCCGATAAATGGACCCATAGTAATGTCATTTTATTACGGACATTTCTTGAGGTATGCAGTCCTTTCTGTTGGGAGTATTACCTGTTTATTTTGTATTTCATGGATTTTACATTGTTTTTCGCGGGTTTACAATACTCACTATTTGAAGTATATTTCATGGCTGGATTTCTTGGAGCATGAATATCATGTATCATGGAGGCAAATGATTCAGTTTATGGTGGTTCAACTACAGACTTACGATTTCACTAGCTTCACAGTGCTGCATGCTGCATGGGTAACACGACCCCTCGATGTGCGCGGTTCCAACTTCTACGTCAACGGCAATACTATGTTTCAATTGACTTTTGACGTAATGAAACAGATTTTCTTTTATCCAACATCCGAACTGATTTTTAAATAGTAGTTCGTTTATGTTTGTTGCGTCTGCTTTCTGTTTGCTGATGTTCGTTTAGTAATGACGAATCCATCTAGCAACCACCTTATCTCGCGCTCTATTTCAAAGGTAAGTGGTATGATTACTCTGAGTTAGATTTATGGTGTTGATCTATTGTTACGCACCAAGACTACTATTGTTCACTATTATCTAACCAATCTCATATAAAGCAATGTCAAGTATATCGTTATTTTTCCAACGTACTTTGCACTATGTACTTCTAGGGTTTTTTGTTCGTAGCACTTTTAGATTCTAAGGTTTCCGGTCTTATTGTTGGAACGCAGCAGCTTATCATCCGAAGCCCTTTCAAAGGTAAATGCTGATGAAATGCGTATTATCGAGCGTAATCTAGATGGATCAAATGGTACTCGTAACGTAGATACACATATCGATGTGAAGTCAACCCAAATAAGCCAAGATTTTATTGTATTACATTGACCGAAGGTGGAAAAACCGACTCCCAAAGGGCTTGTTAGCAGTAAAAACTTAAGAAAAAAGATTTTTTTCTGTTCCTTGTATCCTAAATGGCAGCAGGCAGGAAAGAACCAGAAACCTAATCGTAAGGCTAGATCTGGTTCTATCAGGAAAAACAACAACCTGACCATTCAAATCATCGACAATCACCCAGGATCTCACAGTGTACATCACGCGACTGTGATTGCTGCTCAAGTGAAAGTTGATAACTGGGTACAAATCAAGAATAAGAAACCACCTAATGTATCATAGAAAAGCCAGTCTCTCTAACAGTGGTTAAGAAATCAAAGGGTGTTTGTGATGGCAGGCCATTATCTTCCGTAGGTTTAAGAAGAGTGAAAGATCAGGATCCAGAACTTGCTTTGAGCATGGTATTGGATTAATAAAAGATCTACTTAATTGGCTAGTGCCTCATAATGTTCCAGGAGTCAGCTTGTTGAAGGTTTACGGACAAGGTAGCCATACACTGTTGAAAAAAAAATCAAACCACACGGCTAAGAGTGGTGTTTAAATATCCTTAAGATAGAAACCTAATAGTAAAAAATGGAAATACACTTGAGATGTCAGACGTTTTTGTGCATAAAGACTTGCCGCTCACAGACCGCATAAAAAAACAAGCTGAAAAGAAACTAAAACCTGTTAGGTTTGAAGCTTCACGAGTTCACTTAATCTGCGAACGAGAACAAGACTCGGTGACCAAAGACTAATAATCTAGCTATAGATGCGTTCCAGCCCCGCAACCTAGAAGGAGTAGTCCAAGCTTGGTATGGAAAATATATATTCTGCAAACAGCCAGAAAACTAGCGAGCCCACAAAAACAATTTAAAACATATATATACAAATATATACAATCGATATTGTCGTGGGAAATTTTTAAACATTAATTAATGAGTTCATCAATTGACTGCTATTAATCATTTAATCGATATGATAAAATTACAAATATGAGTTTTGGGGATATATCGTCCCCAACACTCCTCCCCTTTTTAATAGCGTACTTTTCTGGGGTTGACTTGCATCTTGACTGTAGTTCGCCGCTGACGGAGAGGTCACCTTCTGGGACGGGCATCAGCTTACTGTTGAGCTTCTCGTGGTGGAGCTGTAGGTAAGTTGAAGATATCAAGCAAGATGTCGAGGGGAAGATTTACTCCTTTTGATGGGCGGTCCGGGGCTATCCGCTTCCATAGTTGATTCCGGTGACTATTCCACGTGTCTCTTCCCACCTTTACCCAGTACATAACTTGACCTACTCTTCCAACCACACGTCCCTCCATCCAAAGACCATGATTTGCTCCACAGTCTCGGGCGAACACCGGGCATCCTTTACATAATTCACAAATTCACTCGTCACGACACAACGAACCTCAACCTCAACACCAACACCAACACCTATATCAATTAATACAAAACAAATAACACCATTTACACACATTATCTACTCGTATCAAAACCACACAAACATACACTCAATATGTGTACAACTATATTTATTTCAGACATATAGAACTTGTAATCACACGGACATCGTCCACATCAGAGTCTGCCCTATGATTATCATCATTAATAATTTACACTTATTCTACAAACAACACGATCAATACACTATATACTATACGTTACGATTCAATAAAACAACACCACCCACTTACCTCTTTACTAGCACAATGTGACTACTACTCAACCGATGGACGGCAACGACAACCACCAACACAATTCAACCAACACGACACTAACATATTGACACTTCAATTCCCACGATCTCCGGTCCGTGTACGTCGCCTCCTGAAATCACAGCACAATAAAAATATAACACTATGAAATAAATTACAATCATTTCACGTTATTATCACACCATCACTAACACACACAACACTCACGTCAGAGTTAAAAAGCTCGTATACACACACTCATCATTGTCCATACTCAAAGTTGGATCTGATAGTGTTCATCATATTGCACCACTCACTCGCTATCAGTCAGTCAGACATACAATTACACACAACAACAAATCACACATATCCCTTACTTATCATTATTCATTGTCCTCCTTCACTCTCCAATTGTACAATACTTCCACCCTCAGTACTTCCTTCCTTCCTCCAGTGTTTCATTCATTGCTTCATGCCTAAACAATTAATAACAAACACAGGTAGTTCGATCGTTTAACCATACATACATATATATATATATATATATATATATATATATATATATATATATATTCAACAAAACATATACACACACAATCAACACCCAACATTAACAACAATGAGATACACACTCCTCAGTTGTACACTGTCAACAGATGACAAAGTCATCAGTCGAAAGATGGTTCATTGACATCATTACACCAATATGTACTCCACAACACGATGCACCAACTCGTCCACTCACCTAAACAATCAATAAACAAACAAGAAAAAACATCTCCTTACTCCAATGAACACAAATGACATATATATGTGTATATAAATATAAATTAACAAAGCACTATATCAGATGGTGTTGCACACATCACAATCGATTCAGATAATCAAAGAATCGGTGGATATGTATTTGCATCATTTCAAATTTATCCACAGTAAAACGTTTCCTCTACAAAATAACAGGCTCAAAATACCATCTCATCTTCCAACCATTCAACATAACACACTCATCACTTCCTCGTATTTCTGGGTACACGTGTTCCTTTCAACAACAACATCTCCCACATCCCACATAACATTTCACCATTACTACAGACATATACACACATTCATATGCAACTCGTAATAAATCAATTGCATCACAAACACCACCATCATCCACTCACCTGATCTCTCAGTCGTCACCATCTATCTCCCCGTTCCACAAAATGTTCAGTTCCTGAAAATGTAAACACCAAAACACAAATCACTAGTTAGTATATATCCATCAATCAGTACAAACGCGAATTACACAACTATCACACTCTCAGACAAATGCCTCGTTGTGAGCGGTCACTGATCAACATCTCACACTCGTCATCTAGTAGTCATCATCAGTAAACAATAAAATTACAACGCACATCACTCACTCATCCACTACTCACCCGAAAATAACGCCCAATCATCACTCACAGAAGTCCCCACCGTCTCCATTCTCCTCGGTCAAGTCCACGTCATCATCCACGTTATCATCAGCTCATTCACTGGACGACTATCGTACATCTACAAAAATACAACAACAAAACACATTTTAACATACAATACACCA